GAATCGTTCAGGTGGCCGATAAGGACTTGTTGGTCGCAGGTTGGATAACGGTGACCATCTACCACAACTTTGTGCAGACTACGACCTGGTACCTACCACTACAGTCATCACCCATGCGTCACCTGACGTCCTCTTTCTGCATCTCAAACCTGGACTCAGATTGATCACATCGCGATCAGCTACTACTGGCATGGTTATGTACAAGACTGCCGCCCATTTCGTAGTATACAGTTGAACTGTGATCATATCCTTATTATCTTATCTTACGTTTCAGTGGCCAATTGGTTGCAGTTAAATGTCAAGGCGAACTAGGTTCAAGGCTAGCTACCATCCACCGAAAAGAACAGACGAATATTGATTGTAATTGAATGACGCCATGAAAATGGCAGGTAAATTTGTATGAGGCTCCACAAAACATCCCACATATAGGCACACATATAAGTGTGTTTTCCAAAAAAAATTATACTTATTCTGTGTTCCTTAACTAACTAAGTTGGTGCGTTTGAAATCAGCATACTTATACAGTGAATAACTGAAATGACATCATTTATTATCAGCTGAATTACTTATCATGGAATATGGAAATAAAAATTATTATTATTATTATTGTACATCAGTAACTTTACATTTTGAAAACAAACACTAGAAAATTAACGACTTATATTTCAATAATCTTATCAACTAAAATACCCATAATTGTACAGTATTATATTCAAATGAAAATTCTCATGGATACATTTTGTTTCTGTAAAACAATAAGATACATAATCATGTAGATTTTATTTAATACTGATGACTATAGAAGCATGTAGACTAGAGTCAATTGATTGATCTATGAAATTCGATAATAAAACTATCTAAGTTGATTCATAATTTATTTTCCAAATGTAAGTCAAACTAATTGATGAACATTAATATCATGAAAACATTTTCAATAATAAGAACATTGATTATTGTACGACAAAACAATAAACATTTAATTTATTTATGCTTGTATAAATATGTATAACAGATAGTATGGTTTCCAACAACACGGATATCATTTAAGCACGTGTTTGGATTCTGACTAGTAGCAGGACGCGTTTCATCCTATTTGTCACTTATCACACAGATGTATTTATATCATAATATCGATGTGTCACACTGAGTCTCGGATCTAGTATTTATCTCTTCAAGCACCAGACATTATTAACTAAGTGGCTAAGTTCAAACAGCCATTCGACTATTCAACGTCCATGATACTATTTATAAAGTTCTGTATTTTCTTGGTGTTGATATTCAGCTAGAATTAAACGCACATCTTGTATTCCATTGCTAGTCAGAATTGGAAATATATACAAAGCCTTGTGTTTGTAGAGAATATAAAGCCAACCATTCATCGTGCAAACATACCAACAGTAAGTGATCAAATACTGTCTTGAGTATCAACAGCGGAAAAGTGAAAAACCCTATGAATAAAAGAATATCATTAGCATATCTACATGGATTAATAGTTACTATGTCACATTGATAAGTTTCACGATTGAAAATGTTTTTAGAAAATCAAATCTGTAGATGGAATGTGATAAAAATACTAATTGTGTATAGTTTAGTAGTGATAAAACATGAAAATAATGATTTTCCTCATTATTGGCAATATACATCAACGTATTTCACATGATGCAAACAAATCAGAAAGAATTTCTTCTATGCTTTCTACAGTAAATTGTTGTCAAATTTATCTTCCTTTGATTCGAAATTCCTCATCAATTAAATAGAGTTACACATTGCTTTTGTTATCATTCAGTTTCTGAACGTCGAACACATTCAATTTAATAGCTGAAGGATGAAAAATATTGAAAAACTTTTCAATCTTTAATGTATTAGGAACCTTCTTAACATGTCATGGAACATCCCAAAAGATGAATGCGAGCAAAGACAAAGCTTAAGAAGTAGGTTATTCTGTTAATGAATTTTCAATACTTAGCATCTATTCTATATTCGCTTATAGAGAACTAAGACTTGCTCACAATGAGATAAAAAGAATAAAATAAAAACAAATTGACGTCCTAAACATCAATGGGAAGATTCAAGTAAACAATACAAAGTAAATTTATACTTCACCTCATTCCACAAGCAAGTGGCTATCAGGACTCAGTAGCTAAGTAGATAACGTGATGGCGTTTGAAGTGAACGGTATTGGGTTCCAGTCCAAGAGTGAACATCAACTCTAAGACGCAGGTATATCCATCCATTTTTACTTATAATGCTGGTGAGGCAATACGAACAAGATACACATATGCCACATATGATCAATAATAGTCCCAAACATCAATGGGAAGATTCAAACAAACAATATAAAACGAAAAAAAAACGAACATCATTTTTTGGATCTAATTTTCATGTCAAGTAGATTGAAACAAAAATCAATTAAGAGTGTTATTTCATTTTGATTCTTATGCTAAGTAATAACAAATAACCAACTGTATATTCATTCATTCATTCATTCAAAACTTTCTATAATCAATTCAATTACCAAAATTAATATATTTTTACTGTATTTAACTAATTGAGAAACTTTTATTATAATCAGAATGGGTTTTTGTGGAGAGTTTAAGAATTTTCACAAGTTGAAATCATGAGTCAGTTGAAGCTAGTTGGTTGAAGTTAGACATTAACACCGTAGGTCCACGGTTGCCTGGTGACTAAACACCTAACAAGCGTATATATAATCTTAAAGACATATCTCCTAGTAGGGTTTGAACTCTAGTCACCACAAGTGTCAAAGTAGAAAGCATCGTCACTGAAATGTGAATGGTCATGATATAGTTACAGTAGAACTATTAAATGCTACTAATCTCTTAGTAATTATTGGTGTCGCATGAAATAGTCTTTAGTACCGATTGAATTACAATTTTAGTCGAGATTAACGGAATAAATATTGATTCTAATCTGTAGGATCCATTCGTCACAAAATGATCTCAATTGATTCTAACGATTAAGTATCCATCAAGTGACCTTAATGTCTTGAATTCCATTCTTAGTGGGAACGTGAGTAAGCATTTTTGAAGAGTTCTATAGGATGACGAAAAAGTTGTCCAGTGTTCCCTAATTTTCAAATTAACCTCAAATGAAATCAATCTTTGGTGAATAGAATCTATATATGCATGTTTGATGAACTAATTGCTAATGAGAAATCATTAACTGAATAGATTTTAGATAGGTTGAATGGATGCCGGCTCAGTGGTCTAATGATTAAGTGCTCGCGCGCGAAGCCAGTAGGTCCTGGGTTCGAGCCCCGGGTGGTGCGGGGTCGTGGATGCGCACTGCTGAGGAGTCCCATACTAGGACGAAACGGCCGTCCAGTGCTTCCAAGTTTTCAATGGTGGTCTAGCTTCAACTGACTCATGATTTCAACTTGTGAAAAAACTTTTATTAGTTTTAATTTTTAATCAATTAATTTGTATTTATTAAAATGGAGAATATTAATTTTAAAATTAAAAGAGTATTGATTACAGCAATCAATATTGTTCAAATTATTAATATTAGAAAATGTGATCATTAAAATTATCATTTATAATTTAAAGGCAATTTGTCCAATATATGGGCTTATGTTACTGGAAGATTTAAGGGAGTAGAAATAAAGAAATTTCAGATAAAAACCCGAAAGTTTAAACCCTACATATATACACACACACACCACCTGTAGCTCTTCTAGGGTGACTGTTGATCCAAAGCCCGAGTAAATGAGGATGGTTGGGCATGGGGTCAGTAACCCTATCTTGTAGAAAATATCCTTGCTAATTATTGCTAATTAATCTGTTCAACTACAGTCAGGAAAATTATAAATAGGTCAAAAGACAGTCAACATTCAAAACATTAGGTGACTAATTTCCCACAACAATTTTCAAGGAATTCTTGAACACTAAACAACTAATCTAAGTGACAGCTTCGTCAAGATAACCCAATGTAAAGTTAGTTTTTTATCACAAACTGATATTAGCAAAGAAATAATTGACAACCAGTGAGCACTAGACAGCTATTTTATTTAAGTTTGGAGTTCCTAATTAGAATAAACATACATCAAAAACAAGGAATTGTGTGGAGGAAATTCATCACGGGAATGGATGAGTTCATAGAAGTCCATTTCGATTAAATAGAAAATTCTTCCTATATGAGAACATTCGGTTTAAAGTGAAAAAGCTTGCCCTAATATATCAGGAATTACTATTCCATCATACATAGGAACGGAGTTTAGTTTACAATTAATTTGCTCACCATGCATCAGTAGGCCTCAATATACACAAGGGAAAAGCAACATACTCAAATACAACACAGAGAACAGCAATCCAATCACTCTTGATGGCGAAACTCTGGAAGAGGTACAATCTTTCACGTACCTATCGGGGCAGCATTATCGATGGACAAGGAGGATCTGATGCAGACGTAAAACCAAGGATTGGCAAAGCAAGGACAGCATTCCTACGGTTGAAGAACATATGGAACTCAAAACAACTGTCAATCAACATCAAAGTCAGAATCTTCAATACGGACGTCAAGTCAGTTCTAATGTACGAAGCCGAACCTTGGAGAACTACCACAACCATCACCAAAAATGCATAAGTATTTATAAACAATTGTCTACACAAGATACTCAATGCCCGTTAGTCGGATACCATCAGCAACATTCTACTGTGGAAGAGAACAAATCAGCTTTCATATGAAGAGGAAATTAGGAAAAGATGATGAAGGTGTATAGGAAATACATTGAGGAAACCATCAAACTGGATCACGAGGCAAGCACTAACTTGAAATCCTGAAGGGAAACGGAAAAGTGTAAGATCAAAGAACACATTGTGCCGGGAACTGGAAGCAGATATGAAAAGGACAAACAGCAACTGGAAAGGATTGTCCAAACAGAGTTCGATAGAAAATCCTGGTGTGCGGCCTAGGCTTATCCATGAGGGGTGACAGGCGTAAGGAAGTATTATGTAAGACAGCAAGAAAACCATATCAGACTTGTGAAATATTTCATTATATTTATGTACATATATTATACGGTTGTCAGATGATTACAATATACCTTAGTTTCGTCTTCAATAAAATCTATATCAAGAAATTGTGTTTATCAAGGAATATAATGAAATTAAAACTATATGACCTTTTAAAAAGAATATAACCAATTACGACCTTCACAAATATGAACTAATGAAGAAATAGTTCTTCGATAGTTTTTCATAAATTTGATTATATTTCAGTAGATGTTAAATATTGTTTTAAAAATGAATTAAAGTGTAAAGAATCATTAACAAATTTTGTCCGTCAAGCAATTATTGAGTCCATTCAAAACATATTCCTCTAAGAAGCTGTTCGAAATTTAAGAAGTACATATTAATATATAACATTGTGAAGGACAAATCATTGATAACATCTAAAGATTGTCAAGAAATATTTTACTGATGAGTACGGTAAGCAAAGAAGAAAATAAAAGATTAACCAAATGATCACTCATAATTAACTGCCTGCTGTTATCGTTGCGACTATCCATTATGTTCAAAAGTCTGTTTATTGTTTCAATAGAATAGGTCTTAAAAAATCCGAAAATAAGTTTAACATTTAAAAATAATGAATGCGGGTATCGCTATTCACAATAACAATTACGGATTAATATTTACCCTCAAACTTTGATGGTGCTTGCAAAAGATTTCACAAGGGAGGATGCGAATATATATAATTTGGGTATAGAAGTAAACCAAAAGGAAGAAAGAGAGAACAAACAACACATCACAAATTATCTAAGGTCACATGAAAGAAACAGCATATACAAAACACATTTCAAACCTCTAAACAAACTAATCCGTCAGAATAAAAACATACACCATATTTCTTTTCTGGTTTTAAACCAGAAAACAAATAAATTTCTAGCTGCTATGGTAACTGGTCACTTACAACCAAAATGATTTTAAAATTGATGACTGGCTGGTAATTAGTATCATTCAAAATCTTACAAATTCTTTAAAAACTGACCATACTTCAGAACAAGTTTTACAGAAAGTTAACATCATATACATGACAGTTGCAAGTGTTGTAATTAAATGGATTAGAAACAAATCTCAAAATGACGAATAACTTGGTTTGCTTGAGGCTGAAAAGTAGCAAATTGTAGGATAAATTAAATCTGAATAGAAATACTTGAATTTATTGATGATCGTGTAAGGAAGCTAAATGGGATGTATTTGAAAATGACAGTTGATAGAACTCGACCTGTCGAGTGAATGATATAATGCTCAATAAAAAAATTTAATGTGGGATTGTAAGTGCACAAATTTTAACGGTGAAAATACACTTTTAAGACGAACCAATCGGTTTTGATAGAGTTCATAGGATTTTTGAACGAAATCTGAAACGTAAAGATTAATAGCTTGCATCTTATTGAAAGCTAATTAAGAAACATGTAAAAATTACCAGTATATAGTTACTAAAAAGTTTAAAGTTGTCAAATACCAGGAGACTAAATAATAGAAGTCACATTTCACGGAGTCCTGAAGATAATCTAAAGGTTCTTAACATTTAAAGTCAAAAAGTAGAGAGCATGTTTATTCCTTTCAACACCTAAAGAGTGCTTCACCAATTTATTCATAAACTGGTTAAGAATTAGTTTTACTTCCTCAAGGTCAGTTTAAAGTCACTGGTTTTTAAGCTAAATATGATTTCACAAAAATAACTCTATAATCTTTCAGTTGTATACAACTGTTCTATGGGTGACATCGATTCGTGATAAAAACTGCCTACCCGAGTAATTCACCATAAGTTAGGATAAATTATTGGAATATCATTGAATTATAATGTTAGTCTTTTTTGGTGTGTGTATTCTTGGCAATGATCGCAAAAAGTCAGATTTTTAAAACCTTATTAGTAGCATGATTTCGATTTATTTACTAGACTGTAATGGGATGAAGGATACTTTCGATTACAAATTGGATACTATAAGTATTCAAAGCTAAAATTCACGATTACCAATTGAATAGCCAACATCCCATTACATTGTACGGAATTTTAATAAAAGTAATTAGAAATTTAATTGACGATAAGAAGCAGAGGATGAATATGTCAACACCTAATTGTGCCTTTTTATCAAACAGAGTCAAATGTCATTCGGTGTTTAACTTAAATTTTGAAGTAAATTAATATAGACGAGGGTTATACTAATGGTAAACTAACAGTACATGCATTACATCTCCACTCATCTATAATGAGTTTTGAAGTGTACATAGTCGCAAGCGCCTGATCATCAACTGGTTTATTGTTGATAATAGTTTACAAACAGACTATTATACACTCGCCGGCTAATGGTCACATTCGTGTTAAGTTTTACATAGTGACAACCGTAAAAAATAAAAGCCATTAATATCGTCTAGTAAAATAGAGGCGCAAGTATTGACTACCTTTATGGTTGACAGTTAACTTTTGGAAAATTGATTATTTTTTGTATCATGCTATCGAATTAATAGTTATTTGGAGACGTGAATAAGACATTAGCAATTTGAGCACAATGTAATTTCTCGTAAATACATGTGTACGTATCTATGTCAGTTAGATCACTTTGATTACATATAACTATAAGCTTGTCTCAACTATTCTAAGGAAAAAGTTTTTAACGGACTGTTTGACAGAAATTAATTTAGAATTGATAAGTTTCAAGATGAAAAAAATGGAACACTTGTTTAAAATAAATATGGACGTTTTTAGCTGAATATTTATTTCCTTTGAAAGTAAATAGAAATAGTCGTACAAATTTCCGAAGAATTTCCCAAAGTGAATAATAACTATTCATTCAACATATAAATGTTAACAGCAAACGCTTTAACTAAATATAATAATGAATCATCTTCATTCATATTATTAATACATTAACAGTGGAAGCATAGAAAGGCAGAAGGTATAGACTGCAATGTGAAATAAAAGGCATTGATGAACCAGTTGTGTACAGGACAAAGAATCAAGAGTATTGACACACGAATACATATACATAAGTACATGCATGTATACACACGCGCACACAGATCCTATTAGGTAGCAGCAGCCAATTGTGTTGTAGATTGATCTGATGTTTGACTATTCCCTTCAGTTCCAATTAAAGCGGATGCATCGTGACCACCACGTGCAATTTCACTTAAAGCAATCCAGGTTCCTTCTAAATTTTCCTTCCAAAGTGTAACCTAAATGATGATGATTGGAGAAGACAGAAAGAACACAATAATCATTTACTCATGCATTAACAAAAAAAAATCAACCATCAGAAACATGGAAATGAATTAATTCATTAGAAAAATAAATACGTTTATTCAGTAGACTGAAAAAGAAATAAAAGAATACAAATGATAATCTTCGTCTTCTTATTACTTTATCGGTTTTGAAATATATATACAACATTTCACTATGATTTATTATAATAATCAAGCGAAACTATGTACTATTAAATAAATGGTATTGAGAATTAAACATGGAATTTTCACATCATAATTAACATTTAAATAGTTTTGATGTTTGACCAGAGGTGATAACTGACCTTAATCTTAGGAAAATACAAGCTGATAGACATAATTGATTGTACTTTAAACACAATAATGATGACGATAATGATTAGAACTGTGAACAAAATAACGACAACTTTAGGAATAGGTAATAAATAATGCTTATATAAAGAATATGGCATTTTTATATTATCATGGGAAGAATTCACAGAATCAGCAAACACAGACAAACGATATAATTATAAGCTGAAACAGATTCAGATATGAATGCAAAAAGATATCTTTAAATGTTTGTAATGACTACACTAACCAAAAGTTATCAGTACCATAATGTTGACATCTAGAAATTAAGAAAAGAACAATGTAGATGCAATGTGATTCAGTAAGTAGTACACTGTCTATTATCATCAAAGGAACTAATCATAATTATCTATGTATTTGTAAAAGAGAAGAAAACAACATTTCAATCTAATTCTCTGACCAGTGTAATTCAATACATTTTTTGACTTCATTTGTAATGCTCTAGATTGTGTTGCTATTGATATTTCGACTGATATGTGATCAGTTTCAGATGATATACGTGAATCTTGTGTGGACTGTCTAGTTACAGCCATTATGATACAGATTTAGATGAAATATGGCTAGAAGTGGCGAAGTGGACAAAGCTCTGGAGCTTTAAACGGAAAGTACTGGGTTTGAATACCCTGATAAACATCTAAGCTGGGATACAGGTATATTCAGCTGACGAATTTCAAGTAAGACGAGACGCGCGTCTTGGATTCCACTACTAGTTACATTTCATTTTTTCTATATAATAAATTTTCATTATTTGATCATAACATCATTACTTGGTTAACTATTCACCGGTTTCTTTTCAGTTGCCTTATTCACACTGAAAACTTTTTTTATTAGGGTTTTACCATCTGGTTTTTATTTCATTTCGTTTTTCTTTTAACCGATTCCATACTTTTTTTGAGTATAAATAGTGGTAATGCAGTACTGTAAAATATAGGTGTGTTAAACGTAAAGTGGATGGTGCGAATGATTTTCTCTCTTCTATTCCAAAAAATAATTGTAGCTTTTATTTTCGTTTTATCTAATAGTTTTTTTTCTAATAGCGTAACAATAGACTTTAATCATAGAACAATATTATGCAATTCTATTGCATTCTAGACAATTGAATGTTGAAAGTGTCTAGAGACTGAAAGTAGTTGGTTGTTGAGAATTACACAACAATAAAATAACAAATGAATTCATATTATTCTCAGTTAAAATTACTTTACATACGATGTTTAAATTAAACAAAAATATAATATTGATTAGATTGCTTGGAAAAACCACATACGGTAAGGTGTGAGTTTAACAATTCACATCAGTAGTTTGTCGAGTTGAATGAAATCAAAAACACAAGTTCCAAATAATTACATATATCTGAATCAACACTCCTTATTAAATGGACTCACTGAATACAATTCATGTTTCAGTAACAGATAGCATTATCTCCTTTCAGTTTTAATTGAAATAGATGGCTGCAGTCAGTCGTCAAACATACGAAAACTGACATATTATGTGAATAGATTCACGTTGGCATACTAAATTAACATAGTGAGTAGTACAAGTAGTAACATTATCAATAGTAGTAGTACAGAAAGAACATGAACAAAGTGATTGGAGATTAATCCTTTTACAATGAATATAAGTATACAACTCTTTATGTATATGAAACACTGTTGAATATGACAAAAAACTTTTCTCAACCTTAAAGATATCCAAAACGTTAAAAAGTATTCATTTAGTATGACAATTTTGACTTTTTTTGGTCAGGCTACATTGTTTCAAGCATCTATGTTTGTATTTAAATAAGCTAGAAAATATTTATTGACATGGAAATATAGATGTAATGTTACAGTTGCATAATTAATTACAATTATTGAAATACAACAATGTACTACTATTATTACTACTGCCATACCTACAAATATATAAGCATGTAACTGTTCATCATCACACATAGAATTTTTCTATTAGGGTCACACTCAGGTCAAAAGTAATAACTATGTGCCTGTAATACAAATGTAAAACTATTCGTAATAGAACAATAACATGATAAAGTATAAATAATAATATGATTCATCTTTGTATAATTACCAAATCATTCATTCATCTTTACATTGATAAAAAAAGAAAGAACAAGGTGAAATGAAAGGAATAAAATTAAAAATGTTGATGTTTCAGTTCATAGAGAATTTATGTTATATTTGACCCGATAAGACAATTGTTATAACCTTGGTTTAAACTTGCAAAATAAAGGTCAAGGTCATATACATATACTAACCAAGTCGATTTGAAACAAATGAATAATATAAAAATATTCTGTGAAGATGATATCATCCGAAGATGAAATAGCAATGAATAAGGTTGGCTTTTTTTTTCTTGAAAGTAAAAATTTTTTTCTAAATTGAGGTGAATAATTACGAAATGTAAATAAGCACAGAGAAAGGCGAATGATTCTCTATCTCTGACACATACATATATGCATAACACACAAAAATAAATAACAATGCATAATGGCTAACTTTTGAGGTATATTGACTGGTACTTGAATAGGAGTAACATCAATTGTGAAAATAAGTGGGGTGGTTGTAAACATTAACACTCAAAAAGGAAGAGAACAAAGGGTTTGAATGTAGAGACTTAAAATACACCCTTCAATACATGATAGAGAAAAATAATTTAATTTCGGTGACTTTTTTTACACCTTTAATTAATATGTAGATTAAATTGCATGTTGTTATGTTTGATATCATGACTTTAGATTAATCGAAAAAGCAAAATATAAAACTTCAGAGTATTAACAAGATGTTTATTTTCTTTAATTTTATGTATTACGTTCAGTTGACTTAGCATCAGCTCAAAAATTGACAGTCGGACTAATTCCTATAGATGTAGAGGCAGATTACCTGGTTGGGTTCCGTACAATTTTGGTAATAGATCATTAGAGATGTTAAGTGATAAGAATCAGAATTGTTTGCAATGGCGTAAACGCATTCATTTTTTAGCTTCACCAAGATCTGAGTTTCAAGATTATTTCGTAATTTTTTTTAAATCCACAAAATCACTCCTTTTCAAACCAACTTTCTTCACTTTCTCTAATATTCTCTACTACCACCGATGCTGTTACTATTTCTACGACCCTGGATTTTCTCTTGACAATTTCATCTCGTGATAATGTAATATGGTAACCAATACACATATATGTCAGGTTCTATGTTGCGTGCGCCTGACTAATTAACTTGATATAGGAGAAATTAAAAATCAATAAACTAATATGCTTATAATTAATCAGAGCAAGGAACACCACAGTTGGTAAGATTCCATTGACAAAGGATTTATACTAGTTAGCAATCATAAAATTACTTATCTGTTGTGGTGTATGCTACTTATGTCGGTTGACATAAGTAACTTTCTTATTTTTAACCAATCATTAGTCAAATGAAGATAGAAAATGAGAAAGTTTTCATTATATCACGTCTCGAAATTTTTTAGCAATGACAGTTATTGCGTACTGTCAACGTCCAGCCTGAAATCACAAACTGACTTTGTCACAAAAATATAAATGAGTTGTTGAGTAGGAATTCATAAACTAAAATCTATACACTTAATCTAATGACACTTAATAGTCTTAATGAATTAGTGAATGAGTGATCAGAAAAATGTTATTCTCCAACAGCTTGTGATACAAATTTTTTAAAAAAAGTATTTGAACTCATGAAATTATTTTTGATCTCAATCAATAATTCAGTCTCGTGAGTGGTTGATTATCATTGAGCTAAATGGTTTCATTTATTGATTAAAATTTTATTCATTCATTTTAATCATGAATTATTTATCAGATTATAAACCATAACAATAATCAACACATATTTTCTATCACAGGGTTATTTGAATGAAAATTTTAAAAAAATGTCTAGTTGTCAATCACATAAGAATGAATTGCAAGGATAATATAAAAAAACCTTGTTCAGAAGACAGACGACTGAGTGAAGTTAGGCATATACTACTTATGCTCTACAGTTCGGCATGTCATATTGACATCCAAGAATACAAACAATTCGATCTCTATAAATTGAGGATTTTCTCTGAAAGAGCATCACAGTGTCGTATTGTAATTAAATAGCAATGTGAACATTAGTCCTAGTAACATAGTATGAAATGTATAAAGTTAGTTGAACAAGTAAAATTATGAATAAAAAAAAGAAAAAAACAGTACACCTAAATTAAGTAATTCGTAGGATACACTAAACAGGTTTACATACAAGTCATGAACAGAACTTTTCATTTTCGATAGTTTATCACTGACTAGTAAAAAACAGTGCCCTAACAATTAAGACTAAGTATCTTAATTAATGGATAAAAAGTTTTCATACAGAATTCAAGCAGAGGAAACTAAGTAGTTGAAATAAAAGTTGCCAGAAAATGAGTGTAAAATCACCAGCCGTACTATATGAAGGAAAAAGGACAAATGGGTGGCTAATAGAAGTCTTCTAATTGAAATATATATATATATATATATATATATATATATATATATATATATATATATATATATATATATTGTAGAACCTGAAGAGAATTTATCGAAAAGAATATTCTCCGTTCAAATATTAATCTCTTAACAGAACTGTGTCGACATGATCTAGCAACATATATTTCAGTGGCCCATTCACATGTTGCTAAATATATACTAACTGTACAAAAAAGTCGTAAACACAAATTGGTTATTATAGATTTTGTAACACCCAATACAAAATGGAGACAGAACAATGTAAATAAACGTCAATTCTCAGGTGGCAAAGTAGAACCTGACACTTATCGGTTCAAGTTACCACAGTACATTAGCATAACGAGATGAAGTTGTCAAGGGGAATTCCAGGAATAATATTAGTAAGAAAGGCAACAAAAAACATTAGGTGATAGACATTGTGATTCGAGAATCAGGGATTATTTCATGGAGTAGAAAAAAGGGAAACAAAAGTGAGTAAATGACATGAAACTAAACATTTTAATTATTATATTCATCCGAAGAACTTTATTTACTATAGACACCAATTAACTAACAATGATCATAATAACAATAGATAAATCATGATTTATTGTTGTTTTGATTTCATAAAAGAGAAGTTGGCTACAGATAAACCAATCTTGAAATATCTGGAAAAATCACTTTTGATTTGAGTGTACAGACTGAATTAATGAAAATAAAGGGATTACGCCAAAGTGGAAAGTGAAATAAGTCAAAACAATAATTGTATCAAGTTTTGATAAGTCACGAGTCAGTCAACCAATCAGCGAGTCATAATCAACATAAAGCCTGATATGTGCATTTACCCAAGTTGTCATAATATCACTGTTAATATGATGAGATGATGAGTTCAACAAGAGGAATAGATAAAAGGGTCAAAAAATATAGGAGGATCAGTGTTAGCGAGAAGGATCAAACAATATACTGAATGCAGACAGAAAATAAGGGATACGATCAATAAGTCATTCATTTTAATGAAATGGAAGTGAAACTATTCAACTAACAAGTATAAAGCAACAATGTAAAAAAGAAAGACACGATTTCTGGTAGAAACCAGTGAAATCCATATCTCCTTAGTGTGATATATGTTTCTGTGTGTGTTTACTAGTTGAAAAATCAAGAAGCCAGGAAAACAACCGATATCACATTGTTGCATATACTTTATCATTTTCTTCATAAATATGACAATCTAATGATCATGATAAGCAAAGTTTAGGTACATCAGATGAAATGTGGCTGCCAGTGGAATGCAAGATGCACGCTTCGTCTCATGTGGGTCTATTCAGCTGGATTACCTGGTGAAAATATCAAAGAGATAAGTCAAACTATAAAGAAATGAGTCAAAGTCATTCCACAAGTGAGTGGCTATCTACAAGTGGATAACACGTTGTTGTCTGAGGTAAAAGATATTGGGTTCCAGTTCCGGAGTGGATACAAACGCTGGAACGCAGGTATATTAAACTGACGAGTCCAAAATCGGACGAAACGCGCATCTTAGATTCCACTCCTAGCCACATTACACTTCAACATAAAACTGTCATAATCGCTATATCGAGGGAATCCTCATAAGATATTAACTAAAATTGACCACATTTCAGTCAAAATAACACTAACAGTATAATTCAAACCATTAAAAATTCAATCAATAGTTCGAAAGTATACCTTATTATCTCCTCCAGATACCGCCAAAATATTTCCAGTTACAGACCACGAAACATTCCAGACAACATCGGAATACGTATACAAAATGGTTGGACGCCAAAACGTGGAATATTGTGTAGATTGGAAATCTTTCGATTCTACTAATTCATTAGAATTTGGGTTTTTATTATCATTATTATTATCGTTTACTGCTGTCGACCGATTCATCATACGATTTTCATTATTATTATCATTATTAGCTGTCGATTGCCAAATTATTAATCTTCCATCTTGGCCACATGAAGCGATTAATTGCCGTGAAATATTCAAGCTTGGACACCAAGCAACATCACGTACCCAATCGGTATGACCATCTAGACGAGTTTCTTCGATCCATTCTGGATTTCCAGAAGAAACGTCTTCACTATTAGTAAAAAACAAACGGAATGAAGAGCAACAATAAAATTTCACTTTAACTACTAAATGATAGAAAAAAGATCCTCAAAGGTTAGATAGAATGAATTCACACTTGATCACTTTTGTATCCATATGAGAATTAATACAGTAAAACCTATGATTTACAATTACAGTTTCCCAATATGAATAAAAGTATAACTCATGGTTTTATTGAAGAGAAATTTTAAAAAATTATTCGGCGAAGAAAATTTTCTTTTCGACGATATCACAGACTCTAGCTGTGCAATCATATTTATAGTAAATTCACACATAAAGTAGTTTATTGAAAAATAGGAGGACAATTACACTACAAAATGTGTCAAAAAACCGCTTAATAATACAGAATTTGAAGAAAGATAATAAGATGAAACCAAATGCATGAAAGGTGATTGTCCACTTTACGAGTATGAGAAGGGTAAATAATAAATTAAGAACATGAGTGTTATTAAAGAATAATTAGAATTGAAGAGATTAAAAACACTAGAAGTATGTATTAACAATCAATGTACTGTTTATAAAAATGTAGTTACAAATAAATGTCTTTCACGTGCCCCTTTTGTATATAGAGTTCAAGTTTTAAAAAATGGATTGTTAACACCTCTGCAGTGTGTATTTTACATTCACCTTCCGAAAGCCACGCAGGATAATGTCCAGGGACGAGCTTGGAAAACGCTCACATTGTTCGTCCAATGTAACCTACTATACAAGAGTAAGCAAGCTTATGAATACAGACTGATGTGGCCTAAAATGAGAGTTCATCGTTAACACTTATTAATTTACGTTAACTACATTTAGCACAATGAATAGAGTCAAATCTCATTAGATGTTGTGATTAACTTATACTGGTTTGTTGAAATGAATTAATCGGTTCATTACAGCTTAAATTTCAAAGGTTTTATAGGACTAATGAAGCCACACTAAATAATGCACTTTAAAATCATTGGAAGCTATCAGAAATTAATTCATTTTTTCTGTAATACATAGCTGATAGAGTCCGTTATGTTTAAACAAGTTAGGACTTGATATAAATGTATATCAGTTCATATGGTCAGTCATAACATAAGTAAAGCATGTGAAAATTCAAAACTTGTATTAGTGAAAGAGTTAAATGAATAAACTTGTCGATGATACTAAGAAGCAAATTTTAAGGAAACATAAAGAACGAATACATTTAACTCACTAGAATTTATTTAAACTATTACAATTGCTATTACCACATAGGTTAAAATAGGAAAATTTGCATCACTACTCAAACTGACAGTTAATTACTTTATGAAATCTTGATTTGACTGTCTCTAGTTTTTTTCTTCTAATCTACTGATACACCAATAAACATTGAATGCTTAGAGTAACCAATGTCTAGGCACCTATAACACAAATCTCATTCAATTTCTTATTCTTATCATTATTTTTTTCGTTGGATATAAGCATAAGTCCAATCTTAACAAATATATAATTTCAGATGGGTTTTGTGGATATTATAGTAATTTCAATGGTTAAGATCATGAGTCAGTTGGAGCTAGACCACCATGGAAAACCTGGAAGCATCAGACGGCCGTTTGGTCCTATTGTGGGACTCCTCAGCAATGCACATCCACGACCTCGCGCACTGCTGAGAAGTCCCACAATAGGACGAAACAGCCGTCCAGTGCTTCCATGGTGGTCTAGCTTCAACTGACTCATGAACTAAACCATTGAAATATATAATTCATTTGAACATTATACTATAGTGTATATTCCACATATAATCAAACATCTATTTTATTGATGTTAACAATTGGTCAGTAGAACTTTGTGATTATTTTTCTACAATATTTTCAATCGTGTTATATCTACATCAAAGTTTTAACTGATCATAATGAAAATAATAATAATTTCAAACAATCATTTACAAAATAATAACAATAACAGAGAATATTAAATATAATTTCGATTGTAATAAATATTTATTAAATATGAAAAATAAATATTGAATACATAAACAACAGATGAAATAAATCAGTTGAATGATTATTAGGTTGTTGGGTTTTTTTTTCTTCTCTCTCTCCTTGTTAACCAAATCATTTTATATTTATTATAATTGAACAGACTAATAATAATGAGTAGAAATGTATAATAAGGTTGTATTGTATTCCTGTAATTCTCTCACTATTTCTTATTTATTCATACATTTTGATTAGAAATATAGAATAAAATAGAATGACAATATACAAGTTGGTGAACTAATAGTCATATTAAAGATGATGATGATGATATGAATAAGCTCGACCTAGTGACAACACAATGTTTAAAAGTCAGTCACAAAATTCCATTTTACTAGTAATAAAAATTATGGAAAGATTTTTTAATTTGTGTTTTAAATGTTAACCAAGACTTTGCATGCAGTGTTCATTTGAACAAAATTCAAGTATTGCATACACGTAATTAGTTTCTGCCTAAAAAGACAGTGAGCTTCTGAAGAGATTTCAAAGAACCACATATAAATTGATTCCTGAAATCCTAAAGCTATTGTATGATGCGAGACTAGATAAACTTAGCCTATTACCTCTGATATACAGAAGAAGTAGAGGTGATTGGATTACGGTTTTCAATGTCCTCATTTTTTCGTCTTCTGGAAAAGAGGACCTGTGAGCACATTTTAGAGACTTTAACACACCCGGAACCAATAACTAGTCAGAAAATTGCTAACTTCCCCATAAAATTTTCAACAAATGGAACTCCTTACTCCAAGCAAGTGGTCGAAGCCCAATCTCGCTACTCACTCAAAAGAAAACTAGATCAACTGACAGAACGCCATAGTCAGAACTGACACAGATCAACTAGCTCTTACCTTTCCCAAAGTGAAACTGATAATAACGACAAGAGTAAAGATACCATAGTTACGCACCATCGGATGCAAACGTATTGGTTTTCAAGAAGCCTAAAAAATAGGTTTAATCCCAGGAGGTTTCGAAAATGCACATTCGTTGGAAGTTCCATACTAGGATGGAGCAATCGTTCAATTTTTTTTCTGGTTCTCAATGGATGTCTAATGGGAAATCGGTTCATGATATACATTACAAAACTAATCAAACCCCATAAACTTCCCATATTAGCAGGAAGTCAGTCAGTCATGCGCAACGTAGAACCTGGGATGTGTGTACAGAGGTCCAAGCAATCATACCCCATTAACACAAAGAGGTGAAATTTTCATAGAGTATCTCAGGGTATTAGAGGGAGTAACAGCATCAGTGGCAATAAAAAAGACCGGGCATCGAAGATAAAATTCAAGAAAATACAAATTAGTGACATAAGGAAATTATGAGGAACTCAGCAGCTAATAGGAAGGCAATATTTTTAGTAGAAGGGTCAGTATTTAAGGATTCAAAGACTAAATCGAACGTCCTTCCCATTAATTTAACATATTAATGTTATAAGCATCATTAATCGATAATGTAGATAACGATTGAAGGCTAAACGAAGACCGTTCCAATCCAACGAGTGTTTAGAGTAGATATTCGTTTAACAATGAGCCATCTATGATCACTGATGACACTACAAAAAAGACAGTATATATTCTGATTACTTGATTTCCAAAAGCATTAATTTACTATTAGTAATCAATTTAGTGGAAGCAAGGAGAATGATATATTCAAATCTTACTGAAATCAAGAGCCAACATACGTTAAATAAGCATTGAAAACAAGGGGGCACTGACCAACTGTATCGCTCTAGCATGAAAGCCCTTTGAAGTGAAAAATCTACGGACCCGAAAATGGAGATCGAACCTAGGACCTTCGGCATCGCACTCGAATACTCAACTTCTAAACCATCAAGTCGGCATCAAATGTTGTACAATTTTGACCTTAAAATTCGTTCGAATGAAGTATGAGAGTTGAAATTGTATTTAGATTATCCTTAATTGTCTCTAAAATATATACAACTGATACCAGTAGTGTCACATCCAGTGATTATATAACTATGGAATACAATAGAACAAGGTTAAGGGCGAAAAGAACAATGTATTAGGAAAATTAAACAGTCCAATCACGAACCTTTGGTTCGTACGATTCTAATTTGGTTTTTGCACAACAATTGTAATAAAATGATGATCAATGTTTATATAACGCTAGATATTGACCATTTCATCATACTCTTTAATTCTACTCGAGTCACCTGTTCTTTACGAATTTATTACAATTATCCTTGTAAAATCCATTCACAAGGTTTACACATGTGAAATGTAGCAACTAGGATGGATAAGGATTTCAAAATGAGCTTGTGCAGAGTAATAATAATCGCAAAAAGCTATAAAGATTTAAAATTGATGTACAAATAGCGCTGTAAAAATCACAATTAACAAAAACATAAGATTTTTAAAGAAAATCTATGCAAGAAAAGAACTATTTCAATAATATCAATCAAACTACTTAAAGCATTATGTCAGTTTAAATTGTACTATTCAGCTTATGTCATATTTTCATAACCATCAATAGTCTTGAAAAATGTTTACAATAGTTCCAATGAAAAATTTAATCATTTTAGTGCAGTGTAATCAATGTGGTGAACTTTTTTTATCGAACTGAACAAGTCACATAATTATCATCAACTTCATATGTATCCGTGATTATTAAAACAAAACTAATCAGATGTCTTAATTTTAGAACAAATTATTGCCTTTTACTAGAGTCAATGAACTAGAACTCGATTTCTACTGGGCATGAATTTCAAGGTAGTATGTTTGTTTTCTATTACAAAAAAGTTCTCTTTCTCTGTATATATATGGATACACTTACACAAGTAAATACTAGACAACTAAGCTGACACAAGGTCATCGTTACTTTCATGTGCATAGACAGGTATGGATACAGAGAGAATGAATGTGATTATTATTATTATGGCTAATACTCATTGACGCAGTGAATGGTGTTCGTAGTGTTTATGTGATTATACAGGGTGGACACGTGAATAACGATAATAATAAAAATA